TGTGTATATGTATATATATATATATATTCTCCTTCTTAAGGGAAAAGTTTCAGAAAGGTAAAATGAAACAAAAATTAAAAGCATCTTTGAATCCATTCAGAAATTCTTCCTTTCCCTATTCAAATTACCCTATAACACTCAGGATAAGTTTAAAAGTTTCTTTAGACAGAAAGTGTTTTTGTATTCTCCCATTAATTCCTTTCTTCACAGAATGAGCCTGCGTGTCATGTCCTGGTTGACTTCAGTTTTGCCAGCAACAGGGTGATAAATGGGAATGTAGCCTCCTTCAGATTGTTTGTGAGAGGAGCAGGAGCTTGGAAAGCAGAGCCAGAGGTCTCCAGAGCAGAGGCAATAGCGTCAGGCCCCTTCCCTGGTTCAGCAGTTACCAACTCATCTAAGAGGGATGTCAAACCCTGTGTTTGTGGGTGATTGCAGAACTGATCCCTGTGTGCTGAAAACATACCTGGAACAATAAGCTGTTTCCTTCAGTATATTCTTGAAATATAGGAATACAAGTATTTTGGTTTGTTTCAAAGTAACGTAACTAATGATTTTTTCCCCTTCTTTTTTTGACATAGGAAACCAAAATAGACTGTGTTCGAGTAGCCACAAAAGGTATGTTGAAATTTAGAGATGTTCTCTTAAATTATACCTCCTAAAACTTTAAAAACTTAAGGCTTTATTGAGAGATAGATAGATAGATAGAGATATATAGATAGATATATAGATATACACACACACACAAACACACACAAAGGTGTGTTTTATATATGTATGAACCTGGTAGGATCTTCTTACATTTAACATTGATTGACAGTATTTCATGTCTATTTTTTAATTACAATACTGTATTCCAGTTTGTGATTATCTTTTTAATTTTTAAATTCATTTTTATTATTTCAGTATACATTTTTTGAAAGCCATAGATGTATTCCTGGAAGTACTATTTACTAGTAAATCTTCATGTGTGAGGTAGTAAAATATTACCTGACATCCCTGAGTCAGTTATTATACTCTGTGAAGTAGAGTCTATGTAGACCTTGTTTCAGGGAGGTGTACGATTACTGAACCCAGTACCCAACTATCCATATTTTGGAGTTTCTGTTTCCTAGGGTTAGTTACAATGCTGAGGAAATGAGATCAAGTGTGAGATTTCTCAGTAACTAGGAGAACCACAGTGAACTCTGGTGGTGTAGAAGTTCATATTGTTGTTGTTTATTGCCACTGTGTTAAAACCAACTCGCAGCTAGTTCTCAGGAGTAAATCACATGGAGATTGTCCATTTTTAACCACAGAGCATCTGATAGACTTGAACCACTTACCTTTGGGTTCCTAGCACAATTCTTTACTAGTCCATGTTGATAGGTCACTCTGGTGAACAGCCATTCAGACCCACCAACGGCTCCATGGGAGATAGATGGGCAGAACTCCATGGAGAATGGCCATATGTCAGAACTGACTCAAAGGCAATAGGTTTGGGTTTTTCTATTTTGTGTTGGTTTTTTGTTTCTGGAGACTTTCAAGAAGCCCAGGTATTGCAGTGGGTAAGCACTTGGGTGCTGACCAAAATGTGGGCAGTGGGCAGTTACCAGTGGCTCTGTGAGAGAAAAGAGCTGGTGATCTCCAGCTATCTTCTCCGGAGATCACAGCCTGAGACCCTGTGTGGCCAATCTGCCGTCTTACAGGTGACTGGCAGGTGGCTTCAGCTCAGTGGCACACAGTTATGAGATCAGCACCTAGCGCCTTCTACCACACACAGCTCGGGGGATATGTGGGTGCATGGATGTGTGTGTTGGTATGCCCTCACACGTGCTTGTAATGTTTGTGCATCCCTGAGCTGTGCTGTCATGTTTAAATCTTGAAATGCTGTTCTCACCACCATATAAGTTGTATTGAGAATTTAAGATACTATGTTAATATAAGGCATTATAACTTGACCTTCACGTTAAATGCAGTGTTAGATCTCTAGAGTAGGCAAATACAGTGAAGAAGTTCTGTGCAGTTTAATTTAGAAATGATTCCAAGAGTGCAGTGCTGGCTCTGCACCAGCTAGACTCAGTAAGGTTGTAGGTAATCATCCGATGTGTTTTAGTAGATCAGAATGGTTTGTTGTAACATAGCTTAAATATATTCCTTAAACATATTCATTTTCCAAAGTTTCACTGAATTCTTATGTCATGTAAATACAGGACCTTTTATGTAATTAAATTCTTAAATGGTTGAATGGTATGGCCCAGTTATAATGTGAGCTGTTGACTTTACTGGGATTTTGTTTATCTTCTGGGTTCTGTAGTTTAGAATATACTCACACTGATTTTTTTTAATTACTCAATACTTATATTGCACTTGATTCAGTATTTATTTCTAGGAATAGATTTATAATGAAGTTACAGATAATCATATGCTTTACCAATCGCAGCATAGTAACTACTATGCTATATACCTACTAATCAATCTAATACTATCAGGCCCTTGAGTGATGTGTTCATAGTCTTAGACACCCAGATGCCTACCCTTGATCTAGAACAGGAATTTTAAAGTTGTACATTACCTTTCCAACCTCAGAGAGTAAATTCTGTTCCAGAGGGTGTTATTTATAATGCCTTATATTTAATATCACAGCTTGAGTTTTGAAATCACTTTCAAATCCATGTTCTCTGATTCTTCATAAAATACTGTAAAAAAGATACAAGTATTGCTCTTCCTATATGGAATAAGCAAGTTGGTTTTGTAGATGAATTGACTTAGCAAGGGTGATTAGTCATTAATCTTGGAGTCAGGGATTGGCCCAGGCATTTGGACGCTGCACTCCTCCTTCTACCAAGTATTTCTTTCATAGTATTTGATGGCACTTAGAAGAACCTCTGGCCAGTTTATATATAGTATTAATGGTTTCCCTTTGTCAGAATCAAGTCACTGTCCAATAAATTGTGAAAATTCTGCCACCATATTAAATAGCTAAATAAATATATAAATAGCACAATGGTAGATGTGGAAATCTGACAAGTTTGTTGTTTTCACGATAGATTGCATTAGATGATGATTTGCATCATTTTCTCTCGTCCGCTATATTTAATCAATATTGTGAATTTCTTTGCAATTCACCAGAGGTGGTTAGGAAGTTAGATGACCTGATTGACTAAGTAGTCTCCACTCATATTTTCTCAATCATTTGCAGACATTTACACAGAAACAAACTTTATCCAAATAACCTCTTTTGACAATAGAGGGGAAAATTTTAGTTATATATCAGTTGTCACATATTTCATAAATCATAGTCCTGACAAAAAAGCTAGAGAGATAATTCCTCTTCCAGAAAAAATTTACCTGATTTATACTATTTTATCTTATTAAGTCTGCATATATTTATTTAGCAAATCCTCCAGTATAGCACAGTGTACTATGGCATCACCTTTATATTCAGAAAAAGTCTTTCTTTGCTAATACTAAACAATATTTTTATCGAAGGGGAAGCTATTTCATCATACCTCCTTAGTCACACAGAGAAGAAGAGCATGATTCTATGTAGTCAAGGTGTTTGAAATAGAAAAGAATTTGAACATCCTGAGTGTTTTCAACCCCATGTTGTTGACAACATGGGGCCTTAATTGAATTTTCAGATCCGAACCACTTACCAAAATAGCACAGAGAGGCTTACAGAGATTTCTGTGTTCTCATAAAAAATGAAAAATAAACTGTTGACTAGTATCTTTATAGAAAAACTATGGAGGAGGATTTGTTTTCACCAAGAGCTCAGTTCGTAATTTTTAATGAGGGCCTGACTCTTGAAAATACCTTTCATACTATTTCTAATTTTAATGGCATGATTATTTTAATCATATTGCAAAGGTTTATTTTTGGCACTAATCATCTCAAATGTAAAACTTCTAAAAATGAGGCATAGGAAGAACCCTAAGTTGTGTTATTACATATCTCTGTGCGCATGGGCATTGTCTTTATTGTTACCATGCTCCTTTAATTTATAAAAACCAGATGAGTTTCCAGAATAACTTGTCTCTTGAGCTGCAGCCAAAGTCACCAAACTACAGAGTATAGTCTTCCTGTGGATGCTGCCCTCCCCATTCACTACTTCTAAATCCTATAAAATGTTGGGATTTAGCCACATTCACATATTTATCAGTGGATTCCTTTTAAGACCAATTGTCCTAGCTGTGTTTTAGCAGTGTGCATGTTTTCTTGAACTTTTCTTCTTGCGGCTGCCTTCCGATGACCAGTGAGGAGGAAGCTTCCTTTACTGTTTTGGGAGGGCACTGCAAGGGTAAGTTCTAACGCGACTGACAGAACTCACTTAAACATCATAGTCTGTCTTATAGTAAAATGAAGTCTATTTGCTCTAACTGATACAATCAGCAGTTTAAATTGTATGCCTCAATCGTCTATAACATCATACCCTCCATGTGATGATGCCACCTGTGTTTCTCCTTTACAGTGTAGACATTGGGGGGGCATCCTTGTAATTAATTTAATTTCAGATTATCACAGTGATACTATATATTAGGCAAGAAGTACTCTGTGAAACTTCCAAAGACAGATACACAGAAAGAAAGCCTTTTCAATTTTGACTGAAGTTCCAACAATGTTTTTGCTATATTTACTTAATTATCTTAATGAGAGGTAGCTAATCATGAGGGAAGCCTGTATCTTTTCCTGTTGTGATATGGCTAACAGGAGGATAACTAGGCCCTAAACAAACATGCATGTAAACATATGTCAAATTCATCCTCTAGGTATTGCAGAAGTCAAAATATAAAGTTGAAACAAAAAGAAAACAAATCATTATCTCGGTGCTATATTTAAAGTTCAAACTCTTATCCCCGAAGTGCTTCACAACATGTAAGCCTCGTATTATATTTAGGTTTATAGCGCAGATTCTTACCACTAAGCCACCAGAGCTCTTAGTGGAATAAACATGTTCTTTACTGTAAAACATTCAGGAATCTATGAATCCATTCTTCTGATGCAGTTTCCTAATATGTTAATAAATTTGATTTTTTTCAAAAGTTATGTAGGTCTTTGAGAAATTTCTCTTTACCATTCACTGTTTTATTCAAAAAATGCTATTCTTCTTAGCCCATAATGTTGGAGACTACAAAGTTCCTGATAAGAGAACTAAGAAAAGTCTTTTAAAAGTTAAACTTAAAAAAAGATAAACTTAAGAGGAAATAAAACATAATTAATTGACTCGTTTTAATTACTTAGATTCAATACATGAAAAACAAAAATAATAATTGAGCCCTTTCATATATTTCATTCTATATTTTGATAGAAGCAGGTACAGTATGCATTTATAGTTCAGCATTTTATAGTTCCATTTTATAAGTTCATGCCAAAGAAATATTTTTTCCTCTTAATCGATTAATGTTTAAAATGTACGTCAACAGTATACTAATATCCCTGAGAATGTCTTAAAAGAAAGCTGTTTAAACTTCCTCAGTTCTGTGTTTCCCAAATTTATTTGACCCAAACTCATTTTTCCAGAGATACTAGGTGAACAAAGTTTGGTAACTGACAGTTTATAAAATTCAAGAAGATGCACAGTATATGCAAGCTCAGCAAAAGTCTGATACACTCAATTTATCTTTCATCTTCGATGC